TAGACGGTGTAAAGTAGGGATCAAACTTACTTTTTTCTTCCACATGGATGATCAGGGGTCTTACTTTCCCCTATTGGAGTATATTTTCTCTCTCACTCAGAGGAAATACCGTAAGCACCTATAAGAACTTTAAATCCCACTAACATGTCAGTCTCTTTCTGGAACTTACTCTTTTTTTTAATCTGTTAGCACCACCATTTTATTTGTGGTGCCTTAGAGTATATTTTGGTAACAGAGAGCAAATGCCCTTCATCCTCATTTCTCAAACTATGAAGCATTAGCCAGTCAGAGGTGCCTTCTTTTCTAAATCAGATTTCTAAACAAAATCATTGGATTGTCTTACATGTTTTTTTTATGTGTTAATATATGAGTGACTATTATCTTTATAATATGGCTTTCCCCCATCCTAGTTATGGACTGTCTTCCCATTTTGTTTTGGTGTTTTTTTTTTTATGTTCTTTAACAATAATATGTTATTTTACTTATATAAATAGTACTTTTCTTAATTCCTCGGTGTTTTACACTTTTGTTACTATTATGGATGGGTTTTTTTTCTCATTATATTTTGTAACTGACTTAATAGGATTTGTATACTTATTTTATATTTTATGTCTACCATCATCTAAATTCTTATCATAATAGTATTTTTCTTGTCGTAAATTTTATTTACCAAAAACATAGGCCAATATGTATAAGGCAGAAATGCTTAGAAACACCAGGAAATTCTGGGGAAAGAAAAACAAAAACTCAAACTCTCTTTTAGAGTTTGACAAATAAAATATAGAAAAATATAAGGATCTTGTTAATAAAGAACTTTATACTTGAAAGTTTCCCTTATATTTTATGGAACAAAAACTAAATATGTGGATAGTTATAAAGAAAACAATAATAAATTCTACCAAGTGGAAATTGAAAAGGTTACATTCTTTGACCATGATGCAATGAAATTAGAAATCCAACAATTAAAGGATAACCATAAATAATTATTACTTTTATGGAAATTTTATGACCATATGGAAATTTTGTCACTTTTCTAAATAATTTATTCTTCAAATTAGTCTAGTTTTTTTGGAAAAATTTGTAGATTATTTAAAGATTTTAGGTCTTTAAGTTACATATTATTCAAAGATTAACAAAATAGAAATAAAACTTCGTGTCAGTTTTTTCAATAAATTATATGGCTAAATTGACAAACTTGACTGATATAAAGCAAAAATAAAAATATACAACAGTAAGAAAGAGAAAAATCATATTTTTCTATAAAAACTGATGATATTAAGAAACACCATGTACAAAATTTAAGCCAATACATTTTAAAATCTAAATTAAATATTTTTATAGGGAAATTTGTTATCATTAGTAAACAATTACCAAGAAGACATTCACAAGATGGTTAAAGACATGCTGCTAAGAAAGAACCAGACCCAGATGGTTTTACAAGTAAATCCCTTGAAGGAACTGATTATTACCTTGTTTGTAACATTTCAGAATATAGAAAAAGATGGAAAGCTTGCATATCCCTAATATCAAAACATGAAAATTCAACACAAAAAAACAAAACTATGGATCAGTCTCACTTAAAAATATGTTAATATGCTAAATAAATGGTAGCAAATAGAATTCAAGAGACTATCAAAAGGATAATAAACCATGATTAGGAATGATTTATTCTAAGAAGGCAAGGATGGGACATATTAGGAAATTTAGTAATGTAATCAATATATGGTAACAGAATAAAACAGAATGGTCATTATTAATAAACATTTTTAAGATATTGGATTCATAATCCATTTTGAACAGTACCTAAATTTTAACAGGAATGGAAGCACCATGTGGCTCAGTTGTTGGAGCATCATCCCATGCACCAAAGGGTCGCTGATTCGATTCCCAATCAGTTCACATACCCAGGTTGTGTGGATTTGATCCATGGTGGGGGCATGTATGAGAGACAACTGACTGATGTTTCTCTCCCCTCCTCCTCTAAGAAAAAATAAAAAGGAATGGAAGGGAATTTCATAGACATATCAATATTGATCTTATTTTAAGCTGTTTAAACATTTATTTGAGAATTGTAACTGGTATCACTGAAATGGTTTGGGATAGGTAAATCCATCAGAAAAATCACAGCCTCTTTAGAATAGTCTAAAACAATGCAATATTCAGATTGAACTTTTCATCTTATACGATGTTTGACTTTATTTCATAGTGAGGTGAAAAGATAAGTTGTGTGACCTCACAGTGTTTGTGTATGTCTCAAAGCCACTCAAATGGAACTTTATGGACAGTTTGCACCTGCATTTCTGTTGACAGTGCATCAGAGAAGTAGGGAAGGAAGTGGTCCTCCAGCTAAAAATATTAGTAAAGCAGAAATTATAACTAAAAACTAGCGCTCAGAATTGGACACTCTACTCACCAAAAGTATTAAGAACTTCTTTTTCGGGAATGACTGGCCATTGAATTTTGCCCAGTTATCTTCTAGGAATGATTGCCTTGAAGTCGTTAATGTTATATTTGTTAAACCCCAGTTGCAATGTGCACAGTATTGTGGTAGACATGACAATGGATAAAATTGGATCCACACCCTCTGGAATGAACCCTAGTGTTTATGAACTATGTTACCAGGTATGAGAGTTTCAGGTGACAGTGGTGACAGGGAGGTAATGGCATCAAAGCTGGGCTTTGTGGATTAAGTAGAATTGGGTTTCCTGAAGAATTTTTATTTTAAGGAAAAACTCCTAGGTCCCCACCCATGGAGACCTTAACTCAGAGAATGTGAGATAAGGCCCAGACACCAATTTTTTCCTAAAAGCCCCATGAGTGACTTTGATATGCATTTAAGGTTGAGAGCCAGTGGTGTGGTCTCACATGTGACTCAGCCGTAGGGAGTCAACTGTGGGAGATGATGCTGGGAAGATATGTTGGAGCCAAATGATAACCAAGTAAGATTGTTTTGGTATTGTGGATCCGTTTGTTTTCTTTTTTAATTTCTATTACATCACCACCATCTCTCCCTTAGATAGCAACCAGCTATTCCTTACACCCTGGATGGAGAACCTTTTTTTCTGCCATGGGCCATTTGGTTATTTATAACATCATTTGCGGGCCATATAGAATTGTCAACTTAAAAATTAGGCTGCTCTATTTAGTCAAACATTTAATTAACTCACCCCTAAGGCCTTGGCAGGGCCAGACCAAATGATTCCGTGGGCCTTATACATTCCCCATCCCAGCCTCAAACAAAACTTGACTCCTTGCATGAATTCAAAGCAAAACATGCTAAATGAGATGAAGAAGAGGAACCAGTCAAGAATCTCCTTAGCTATTGCTGTATTATTACCCCAAAACTTAAAACAACCACCATTCTATTATCACTCACAATTCTGTAGGCTTGACTGGACTCAGCTGGGTAGTTCTCCACCTCCAAGTGATGTGGCAGGGGGCACAGTCACATCTAGACTCTAGATTCTAGAGGATTAAGTGGGTGTGAACATCAAGATGGTCCACTCCCATGGCTGTTAGTTGAGATCTCAGTTGAAGCTGTGGACCGGAACACCTTGTGGGCTTCTCACCGCAAGGCAGCTGAGTTCCCCGAGGAAGCATCTCAAGAGCAAGCATTCAGCCCGGTCCAGGCCACCGGAGCCCCTTATGACCTAGCTTTGGGAGTCTCAGATGTCATTTCCACCACCTAAGGCCAGCTCAGATTCAGTGGAACGTGGAGCAGACGCCATCCCCTGATGGAAGACGCAGGGTGTGCATACAAGGAGAGAAGGAACTTGATGGCAGCCAGTTGTGGAAGCTTGTGACTGTCTTCTTAGTGTGCCACGTCCTTTACCATCAAAATACACAAAGCAGGATATCAGGAAATTTAGATAGACGTCAACAAAAATACAATTAGACAAAACAATAAGTAAGGATAAAAGGAATGTGAATAATACAGAAAGTTTATGTGGTAGATAGATAGGTGTGTTACATTTCTTATTGGGTAATAAAGGATGGTACACCTCCATTTCAGACATCCATAAAATGTCTGCTTCCCCCCACAAAAGAAGCCTCGAACCCTTATGTGTTCTTATAAATTTAAAGCCTTGCCGAGACCGGTTTGGCTCAATGGATAGAGCGTCGGCTTGGGGACTTAAGGGACCCGGGTTCGATTCCGGTCAAGGGCATGTACCTTGGTTGCAGGCACATCCCCAGTAGGGGGTGTGCAAGAGGCAGCTGATCGATGACTCTCTCTCATCGATGTTTCTAGCTCTCTATCTCCTCCCTTCCTCTCTGTACAAAATCAATAAAAATATATTTAAAAAAAATAAATTTAAAGCCTTAATGATACACTCTCCTTATCTCTCAACCTAGTAGAAATAATTACAGTTGTGTCTCATCTATTATTATAGAGTGCTCTGTATCAAGTGGATGAATTTTTGCACATGGTCTAAGCAACTGGGTTACACGTGTCTCTTAGGTTCTTACTTTTTTTTTTTTTTTTTTAATTTGTTTTCTGGAAAGATCAGCATTGAAGGAGGCTTTCTTTTAATTCCCCAGAGTCTCATGATAAGAGTTTTGACTTATCCAAGGTGCCCTCTAGACTTCAGAGTCACATCCAGCAGCCACTGGAATCATCTTCTAACTTCCCGGTAATGCTGACCTGGGAACTGAGCTGCAGTGATTGCCATTACATGTTTCCCATGTATTGGTTTTGTAAGCCCCTTAAGAAAAAGATAATCGCTTGAAGGCTTTTTTTTTTAAAGTCTTGGCTTTGCTTTCTGCAATGCATACATTGTACCCTCCTAGAAAGACATGCAGCGTCTGAGGTAGGAACCCAGGTTGTGGTGGGGATGTCATTTCCTGGCCTGTCAGCGATGAGTCCTCGTTACCTATGGCTTCTGTCGCGTTGTCCCCGTCTGATCTTTCGGAATCAAATCCTGGCGTTTAGCCACCCGGGATGAGGAATCAAAGCAAACAGCCGTCTCCCTCCGTAACGCTCGGCCCGTTTGCCGTTACAGGTGGTCACGCTGTGGTACCGGGCCCCTGAAGTCCTGCTGCAGTCCAGCTACGCCACCCCCGTGGACCTCTGGAGCGTCGGCTGCATATTCGCAGAAATGTTCCGCAGAAAGTAAGAAATACCTTGGTTTCCCCCTCTCTTCCTTGGGAAGAAACGTGCTGGGTCTTGGGTCCTTGAAGTGGCAGCACAGCCTCTGTTTCACATAGGGTCCCAGTTCCCGGATCCACCTGCTTCAGGCTGCCACGACCAGGCCGGCCCTGAACCCCCTTCTGGTCCTGATGGCATCCTGTGGTCTGACTGTACCTTACAGCTCTTAGGAACTCGTTTGGAAAAACACGCTACACTACAGTTTGTTTTGTTTTCGTTGGTGATAATAGGACAGAGTGAACAGGAAGCCTGTTATGGTATTTTTTTTCGTGAGGAAATAGCTTCAAGGTGGACTGTGTCCCCAGGAGGAGGGCCTGGGCTAAGTATGTGGAAATTCTGATGGTGAGAGGAAAACACACAATGTTGAGGCTGAATAGGAACAGGCAAGGAAGATGTCGACGGCATTTCAGAATGCTCTAAATGCTATCATCTGGAGGAGAGATCCTGCATATTCGGGCAGGAGAGTGAGCAGAACGAGGACCAAAGATGTTAAAATTACAGAAATAAATATTTTTGCTCAGAAGAGGGGTTAGGGGAGATCTAATGAAGAAGAGGTTGGGGTTCGTGAAAATGGTGCATTCTCATTAGGTGTCTCTTAAAGAGGCAGGACCTCCACTCCGAGGTGTTTGCAGTGGAATTCACGGAGTGGGTGGGTGGGATGACCTCAGGGTTCCTCTGACTCTGAGAGTCTGCGATTTGTTTGGTTTTCAGCTTCTACGAAATAACCAAACAATATAATGAAGATATTGCCAGGAAAATAATTCTTACCTAGGTAATCAATTCAGCCTGGTCAAAATTAAACAGAGAGCCTAATTGTAATCTAATCTCTCCTTGTTCTCTATTTTTACTTCCATGGGAAGAGGTGAGTTGAGAAGCTGAGTATATATGCCCATTGGACATGTAATGTTCAAAATGAAGCTACATGATCGCTTTTAAAGAAGAAGTGGTCACCCATTGCTTGCTTGCTTGTTTGTTTGAACCAAATGAAGTTTTGTGCATATAATACATTTTGAGACCTATTTCTAGAACTCAGCAGATTTTTCTGTAGCTCACAGAGGGCATCATGGCAGGAGATCAAAGTATTAATGCACAGATGTTTAATGCAGGCCTACTGGGTAACAAGTTTAGGACGAAACCTCTTCCATTAAGTTATCTTTTGATTCTGCACAATAAAAGACAAGTGAGGTATTGTGGTAAATTTGTCTAAATCAAGCAGCTTTAAAAAAAAAAAAGTAGCAGGGGTTCGATTCCAAAGGAACTCTGTGAGCTGGTCCAATGTTGCTTTTCTCCCAAAGAGGAAAGATAAAGTGTAATATTGAATTCAGCTGCAGTGTTTGGCCAGACAGGCTGCATACAGGCATGCCTCCTTTTATAGAGCTCACAGATGTTGTTGTCTTTTTCATCTTTATTGTTGAAAGTATCCCATATGTCCCCTTTTTTCTCCCATTGACCCCTTATAGCTCTCCCTCCCTCCCTGCCCCAGGCCTCTCCCACCCTATTGTCTGTGTCCACGGGTTATGCATACAAGTCAGATGTTGCTTTTTGTTTACAAATTGAAGGCGAGACCTTCCCACCAGCGAAAAGATTTTACTGGCAGCACTCGGTTTATCGTAGTGGTCTGGGACTGAACCGCAATCTCTCTGAGGTTTGTCTGAAGTGGTTTTGGAAGCGTGGTCCTTGGACCAGCAGCCTCAGCATCACTGGGGACCTGATGGGAAACACAGACTCTGGGGCGGGGCCCCAGAACCATTGGATGAGAAGCTCTGGGGCGAGGGCCCAGCAGCCTGTATGTTCACAAGCCCTCCAGATGATCCTCACTCACCCTCCATGGTAAGAACCACCATGTCGGATGATGGGATCACCAGGGATGGGCATTCTTTAAATCCAGGGTGGAGAACCTTTTTTTCTGCCAAGGGCCATTTGGCTATTTATAACATCATTCACAGGCCATACAAAATTATCAACTTGCCAAAACTGGTTTGTCTCAGTGGATAGAACGTTGGTCTGCGGACTGAAAGGTCCCAGGTTAGATTCCAGTCAAGGGCATGTACCTTGATTGCGGGCACATCCCCGGTAGGGGGTGTGCAGGAGGCAGCTGGTCGATGCTTCTCTCTCATCGACATTTCTAGCTCTCGATCTCTCTCCCTTCCTCTCTGTGGAAAATCAATAAAAAATATATTTTTTAATTATCCACTTAAAAATTAGCCTGCTATATTTGGTCAAATGTGAAATTAACTCAACCCCTAATGTCTCTTTGGCAGGGCCAGACTCAGTGATTTTGAGGGTCTTATGTGGCCCGTGGGCCAGAGGTTCCCCACCCCTGCTTTAAATGTCCACTCAGATTCTCCTTTGAAAGTCTGATTCTTTACTGGGCTGAGGCCAGGCATTCTTGTTTTTTAAAGTGCCTCGTGTAATTCTTTTCATCAGACACGTGTGGAAAACATTGGGTTAAAGGCTTATGGTCAAAACAAGGAATAATTTTCTGTCAACATGGCAGGGTGTAAGTTAGGACTGTCAATCCAGTTAATCCCAGGAACAACTTGGTGTAGCTGGGAATAGATGAGAGAAATGTTTTTTTGGGGTTGCATTTATATGTCAAGAATTGTCCTCAAATATAAAGACTGAGTCATTTTGATATGGCAGGAAAGTGATTGGTTATTTTTCAATAGTACAAGACTTGAACACCACCCATAATTGATGACAAAACCAATTTTCTTCTGAAAAATGTGAAAAGAAGTATGAAATCTTAGCTACAGCATAGTGTTAAACATTCTCTAGTAAGGAATTTGCTGTATTTGTAAATATAGGTAGTCACCCCCTATGGAAATTTGCAGCCCAAACTTTCATTTCATAGTGTTAATACATTTCCCCAGTGAGTTGGTAGCATACTAGTAGATTGATAATCTGGTTCTCAGTCTAGCTTGCCGAATTCTGTATAACCTGCAACGTCTATGAAACATTATTTGCACTACTTCATCAAAACCTTTTTCCTATTTATTCCATTTTTTTCATAGGGGACAGTTCCTTGTATGTTCCAATCCAAAATGACAGGATTGTGTTCTCATCCTAACTTTGGGCCTGGGGAGAGGGACTCAGAGAAAGGCTCCTTTGATAATAGCAGCAACCTCCTGCTTCAGTTTGCCAGGAAATTGAGATATTGGTTAAGAGATCCATTGGCCCTTTCGATGTGCACAAAAGAAAGCCTTACACAGAAATAGTAAACTGAGAAATAATTGCCTCTAGGGAAAAGCAATATCAGATTCCAGGTCCGTGTGCCTTTAAAGCTGAGGGGGCCTGCCACACACCCTTTCTGGGAGGACACCTTGTCTCCTGGATAGTTCCTGTCCATTTGGCTGTGACCTTGCAAATAGCTGCGGGATTTGACCCTGGTTCCTGCTCAGTTCACGTTTGGCATTTCCTGTGATAACGCTCAGATACCGGAATGTGCATGCTTCTTCCTTATGCCAGATGTGTTCTGGAGTCCATCTTTTAGCTTGACCTGGTTCTGACTTGACTTTTGATTTAGTGTTGACCCCCACGTGGATTGTCCAGCTGGAAAATCATAAGCCATAGATTCCAAAAGCAGACTTCCGTAATTTTGTCATCTCTTCATGGTTTTTGCCATATTCTTATGACAACTATACATAAATTTTTACCCTAAATCATTACTTTTATATTTAACCTCATCTAAGTAAAAGTACATAAAATCACAGATCTGATGAGCCAGTTATTTATTCATCTAATATTCACTATATATATATATATATATATATATATATATATATATATATATATATAGTATAACCATTATTAAGAAATTTAGTACAAGTCCAACCTCTGAAATCATTTCATACCATCAGTGGTACATGTCACATGTTGGAAACCCTGTAACAGGTTTGTCATGTAGTCTACAAATAATTTATTGAGTGGTTACTATATATGCAAGACCCTTCTCTAGAGGATTAACTTAAATCCTGGTGGGGAAGAGAGACATTGCATACCCGACTAGTTAATTAACCAGAGTTGGGGTAAAAGATCTGAAGACGTGTAGAGTTCTAAAAATGGGGATAATGAGAAGACTAGACAACATTTCTCAGTGGAAGGCCAGAAGTCATGGTGAACCTTCCTTCAAGGTCATACAAGGCTCTCCATAACCTAGGGAGAAAAAAGAAGCTAAGAAAATAACATGGGTCTGTCATGTGGCAGACCCAAGGCTGGGCCCTTCCCTTGCATTCTCTCATTAAATCCACATTCATTCTGAGGACTGTCATCCAGTTTCCAGATGGAAACTAGAGCCTTGCCCCAGGAGGATAGAGAACATGCCCATGGCACATAGCTCTCAAGTGGCTGAACGGTATATGAACTCGGTCTGCCTGACTCGAACCTTCGATTTTTCCACTCTGCCATGTTTCTACCTTTGCTGCTGTTTTACTTATTAGGGCTTTTTTTTTTTTTTTCTGGAATGTTCTGTGTGTTATTACAATGTAGCAGCAATGATATTTTAGAGAGGTCAAGAAGCAAACCACACATTTAATAGCTTTGATTTCTAGTCTCTTCTGTATTGCAAAGGTTGACCAGTTCTCTGTGATATTAAGGGATGTGTGCCTTCTATTCTACAATGAAATACCTAGAAAAAGTGAACTCAGTAAAAAAAAAAAAAGCTCTTAGGACAGATGGTTGACAAAGAGCCAGAGAGTTTAAATACCATCTGTCGCTATTATCTGGGTTTAATAATTGCCCACATTGACCAACAGTAGCCTTCTACAAAATAGAGAAGAGCTGGATTTTTTTTTTTCTTCCTCCTTTAGTTGTTCATTCATGGATAATCCAACTTTACTCCACACTGAGTTATGTTTTAATGCTTAAAAAAAAAAAAAAAAACATTGTTAGGACTATTGCCAGAAGACAACTAGCCAGCTTGAAGGATGGGATTGGATGGATAGAAGGACAGATGGGATGGATGG